AAAACAAAAGAAAAATAAAGCCTTAGTTCTAATTGGTTCCAAAAGCTAAGGAAGAAAATAAATTGGTCCACAACCTAAGTTCACTTCACACAACATAACTCAACGTCCAAGGGCAAAATAGTAACTTCCATGCTCTTGATGATAAAATAATATATACAATCGGGACGGGTTGTCACAGGTGTGGTGGCCCCTTTGGGTAGAGATGGACCGGCCACTTAGATGATTTTTTGGGTTAGGTTCTTGATTTGTGGTTAATTAGCTAATTAATGGAATAATTAATTAATTAATTAATTAATGAGAAAATTAATATAATAAAAAGAAGAATGATTTTGGGGTTACCTTGTGGTGAAGATATGACGAGGATGGATGAAATAAGTTATAAATAAATACCTATTTTGGGCACTTTTACTTAATTGAGGGATGATTGTCCACTGCTCGAGCGTAAGAATTCTGGTGTTCCCTGAGGGTAATTTTGTCCCCTTAACCCAAAAATCCATGTGTCGCCTCTTGATTGTTTTGGCTCCACACCAGATGTTCGGCCTAGCTTGTCACACGCGTAGTATGCCTAAAGGGCTGTTGTTTTCACTAGATGTTGAAACGACGTCGTCTCAACGCGGCTTCAAGCCAAGGCTTCGACGCAAATTCTCAAATTTTTTTCTTTTTTCGAATTCTAGGGTTTGTAAAAAACCAAAATTGCTTCTATTTTCTTTCGATTCTTTAACTCACAAATTCCACATAGTAAATAATTACGTAATGCATGAACGTATGTATATATTGACAAATATATGAACATATAATATATATATATATATATATCGGAAGGAAAATATAAATGTAGGGGGTTCATGCATCATGGGGAATGTTTTCATGCTTCATAGTCGTTTGAAATATCTTAATTTATTTTAAAAGAACCTGATTGGCAAAAACAACTGAGCCTTTGAATTTGTAAACGATCCTTCTTGGAAAGCCAAAATTGCATCTCCAATGAGTTGTATCACGCTCAACAAAGAAAAATTAAATTGAATCAAGAGCATGTAGATCAATTTAATAAAATAATAAATTAATCATAAAAAGAATGATTAAAATGTAATACTCTCCTGATTGAAGAACAAAGTCTCTTTAGCACAACGTCAAAAACGTGTTGATAGCACGTTGTAGGCCTAATTTACTAAATCATATAAAAAGACAGAGAGAGGGGTGCGGCAACAGTAGAGAGAAAGAGAGATGTGTAATTGTGAGATGTGTGTTATCTCACCCCTCTGTGCCTTTATTTATAGTAGTAGGGAACGTAAATTCCTTACCCCAATAGGATTATAAGTCTAATAAGATAATATCTAATCTAAGAGATATGATAGAAACCCACAAGGATATCCTAGAGATGACAGGATTTACAAGATCACATTTCTAATCTAATAAGACTGCAACATCAATTTTTTGTTTTTTAATACATCGATATTTTTGCACTAATGAGAGGGGGAGTTTGGCTAAGCCACACAATAGGCAACCTAATTTGGTATCAAATTCGTCATCTACGAGATTCGAATCTAAGACCTCTCACTTCCAAGTGAAGAGGAATACCACCAGATTATGATACTGAGTGACACATTCGTAATTATATTAACAACGAATAAAACAAATACATAATAAACATATTTGAATTAATAAAAAAAATTGTAATTTAGTTACCTAAATGCATTCACAATTTTGGTTTTTAATGTCGTTTATATTAGAACTAATCGTGACTAAGGCCACTCTTTTTAATAGTAATGTTTTATTTTTTGAGAAAAAAATGCAGAAAATGACAATTAAGAAAGAGAATTGATATTGGCACTCCAAAAATCTCATTCTACATTCCGAACTTTCTATATTTAGAAAGAAAAATACACTTATGAGAAATGTAAAATAAGATTTTTGGAATACTAATAACACTTCTCTGAAGAAAATCATTGTGTTTACTTAAACAGTGGGGTTTTGGTGCTCTTCTCCTGCCCCGTGTTTTGAACCCTTTATGAGATAACCCTTTATAATAGAGGTTTAGTGAGGCCACTACACTACCCATTTTCTTGTAATCAATCATCTTTATCAATGAATTACTTTTCAGTATAAACTAAAAAGGTAATGTTCTAGAGTTCTAGACACATATCCTCTCTCTCTCTCAAGTCTCAAGAGTCAACATTCATTGCGGGTTGGAGACCGCATCTGCAATGCTATAAGGGCACGTTTACGTACCCGTAATGGGAATCAATTTATGGAATTGGATTCCGATTACGGGATACACCTTTGTTTACTTAATCTTGAGGAATCAAAAAACATGTGGGGTCCACACCAATTGGGGAATCCCACTCCTGATTTTGGAGGAATTGGACTCCCTACAAGAGGGAGGTATTTCAATTCCTGGACTGGAGGGGAATCGGGAATGGACTTTTTTACCAATTATGCCCTCACTTGGTTGTGATTATTCCAACACTGCCCTTCATCTTACTGTGTATAATCTAATTTATACACAATAAATCAATAGTGCATATTTTAACTCTTTACTTTAATTAAATAAATAAAAATATCTAATTAAAATGTTTATAAACATAAATATAGAATAAAATAAAATAAAATAAACAAAGGCAATTTTGTAATCATATTGATATTTATTCCAATTCATCTAAATTAGTAAACAACTTATATGAACTCAATTTCGATTTGGGACAAATGACATTTTAGTAATCATACTGGTTTATATTCCGATTCTGCTGAATTAGTAAACAGCTTTATGGAATTGTATTCCGATTCCAGACAGTTTTAGTAAACAATTTCAACAGGAATCTGATTCTGATTCCACCTCATTTCAATTCCTCCTCAATCAAATTCCTCCTCAATCCAATTCCTCTCAATTTGATTACGGATTAGTAAACGCGCCCTAAATACTTATATTTCTCCTTTTCTCAATATCGCCAACCAATACTTCTAAGTGTGCGTAATTGTCGACTTTTAGAAAGTTCAGATTCGGCTCTCAAACATGCCGCGATAACAAAGTTCTTTATAAAAAGTTTTGGTCGGAAAAAAAAAATTAAAAAATCATGGTTATACCTCACTTGAATAAATACCAAACAACAATCTGATTCTCGATTTGTAAATCATTTTTTCCACCGATGTATCATGAAGCATGTGAATCTATTGAATTTGAACTACAGCTAGGAGTTTGGTAGGAATTGGGAAGTGTAGTTGAGGAGAAAGGATGGGTGGGGTGAGCGGGTCGGGTTCAATTACGAAATCAAATGTGGTTTTTCGTTATCTTTTAATTTTTTTTAATATATTTAAAAGGAGAAACCTCTTACACAGCAAGTTTCATTACAGTCCAAATGGAAAGCTATATTTGCTTCCACAGGAATGTAGGCGTCCCAAATACAAAATTTACCAATCGTTAGCCCAACCGAAGCCACTATTACCAAGTTTGCTTCACCCAAAACATGACTCCACTTTGTTTATTGGAAAGAAGTAGCACGCCACTTGACATCCTAAATAATAGATCTTAAATTTCACAACGTATCACAAGTGTCACAAACGGTATCAATGATTAACTTTGAATTATTCTTTAGCTTTAATTAATGTTTGTCGTTTTTTGGTTATTTGGTTCAAAATCTTATAATAGAGAATGCAAGTGCTATTAAAAGTTGGGTGAATTTACTAGAAGTTGGGTGCCAATAAAAACAATAAGTATAAACGATATTGAAGACAATAATCTTATTGTTCATAAAAAAAAAAAAATTATTGTTTATCTTTTTGGAGTAGGATTCTCTCTCCCTCTTTTTTTCTTTTCCCTTCCCTCTCCTTCTATTTGAACAGTTACGGTTAAATCACGTCAACAACTTATATAAATTTTTTATAAAAGGAGAAAGATAAAATAAAGAATGTAAAAAAAAGAGATGTAAGGAGATGAAAAAAGAAAGGAAGAAAATTCTAATCCTATCTTTTTATTCTGTCGACCTGTGTCAGTAGCATTAGCTTTAAAATAAAATAAACCAGTTAAAATTCCACAAGTTAAAGATCTATTACGATTTGGATGTTCACTCTTAAAACAATACAACTTCAGCCATTTCAGATTTGAAGTTTTTTTTTGTTTTTTTCTTTTCTGAGTTAACCCATAAAGGTTTAGTGAGGCCACCACACTTTACTCATTTACTTGCAATCAATCATCTTCTATCAATGAATTACTATTCAGTATAAAGAAAAATGAACTTTAACGAAAAATTTCTGGTACTATTTATTTTAAGGAAAAATCATATTTTTACATTAAAAAGTTAATCTTGGTATTATTTACTTTACGTTTTATTTTGTCTTTATCTTTAAAGCTCAAAATTTTCATACTCTTTTTATTAGTTTTTCTTAAAGAAAAATGGAAATGTTCTAGACACATATTGTCTGTCACTATCAAGTCGCAAGTGTCAACGTTTTCATCGCCGGTTGGAGACCGCATCTGCAATGATTTTGGTTGTAAACAAACAATATCGCAAACTAATACTTGTAAAGTTGTACTTGTACACGATAGTCAACTTCCCTTGCAGATTATTGTCGCTGACTTCAACTCAAACTTTTTTACAACAATATTGGTGTTGAGAAATGATGGCTACTTTCTCTATTTATCTTTATCTACTTAATTTTTCCGTTCATCTTTAATATGTGGAGTCCACTGCCACTTAAAACTATGAAATTAGTTCTTTAAAAACAAATTTTTTTTCTTTCCTCTTTTACCCTTAATAAATCTGATAAAATAAAATAAAATAATCTACTCAAACTCTTTCTCTCTCTTGTCCCTTCCACTTCCTCTGGGTTGTCTTGGTTTTTCCAATGAGAGAATTTTTGACACACCCCGACCCTAATAACGCAATTTACGAGGCTATAATGTATTGGCCGACACTAAATTGACCATATGACACCATCCAGAGATGACGTTACAAGCTAACTTAATGACAAAGCCATAAGATTTTTGTGATGTGTAAGAATTTGAACTAAAGATGTTCATTAATAATAAATTCCAAAGCTGTTACAAGAAATCACCTATCATCCTCCCCACTTGGGGACACAAATTCTCTTGGATTTTATCCTGTTATTATCACATCACATCACATCATAGTAGCTAGAAGTTTCACAACAAAGTGTGCTATGCATAATCAAAAGTACAATTATGCCATTATTACAATATAGATAAAACTGCAGTAAATGAACCATCACCCAAAGCCCAGAGGATGAAAGCTTAACTGCCAAGCCTACTCGTCACCACCGGTGTTCTCTTTACTCTCGTTACGCCCTAAAGGGGTCGATAAAACAAAATGTGAGTGGACCAGTTTTATCACAGTTGTAAAATCATTGTTCAACATAATAATCCTTGTTTAGAAAATACATATAGCAAAAACTATATAATAATATTTACAATCATAATAATAAAATCTCATTAATTACTACAATTGAAAACATTCGATCCAAGTTCAAAAATCATACCTTAACTCAATCAACCATGCTAGCGTCCACTAGCACAAGTAGGGGTGGGCGCGATTCGGTTTGGTGCGGTTTTGAGTGAAACCAAAACCAAAATTGTAAGTTTTTGCGGTTTGGTTCGATTTGGTTTTAAACGGTTTTGGTTTGGTTTCATTGTTTGAATAAACTATTATGGTTACCTAGTTGTATCTCATTTCATCCAATTCAATAAAAACGTTTTGGTTTTTAAACTTTTGACATTAAAAACATGTCCTTAGATAGCCCAAATATAGGATTATTTATTATAGTCAGCAACCAAGATGCAATACACATTCAATCTTAAGTTCAAGAGAGTTCACATCATGATGCAGGGGTTCAAATCAACATGCAGCCCTAAGTAATGCGAACATCTCCTTAATCAAGGGGGCTGATTCAATTTGTGTAGGTGTGTGTAATTGTGTATACTGGGCGGAAACCTATTTAGTATATACCCATTATTCGCATGTTATATAAAAATTGGAAGAAAATGAAATTTCAAGGCATGGCCATTCTAGTAAGCAACAAGCCTAATTAATACTTAATCTGTTAAATTTAATACTTAAATCTAATAAGAACTGGATTATATCGACTAATCTAGGAGCAAATATGTCATTTTGTCTTCTTCTTTTTTTTTTTTTGCAGAACTTGTGAACTTGAATCATATTCAATTTTACTCTGATTTATCAAGTTTATACGTACAGTTTATACGTACAATCAACAACATTCTGACATTCTGATGTTCATGAATGAAGAAAATTCGAAGACTAACCAACGAAAAACCAAATCCCCTTTTGATTCAAAACCCAACCCTGAACTCTAGAGGTTAGGAGCTGGAATGAAAGGGAGGCCGAGAGAGATAGTTAGAAGCTCAGATGAATAAAGTTGAACAGTACAAACTAGAAGAAAGAAAAGATAGAGATTATGTAGAAATATTATGATGAGGTTGAGTCCATAGTAAATGTATGGACTCAATGAAATAACGAATTAAAATTTAACATTTAATAAAGTTGTGCGGTTTTGGTTTTGGTGTTGTTTTCAAAAGCCAAAACTGAAACCAAACTGTTTCCTACTTTGCGGTTCAATTTCAAAATCAAAACCGTTTCAAAACCGCAAAACCAAACCGTTCAGTGCTGTTCGATTTGGTTTGTGTTTCGGTTCCAAGTGCCCACCCCTAAGCACAAGTATAGCAAGCAGGAAATACTAGCGTCAACTAGCTATACTCAATACTAGTAATAATCAACAACCCTAGCATCTACTAGGATAAAGATCACATGCAAGTAATCTATGGCTGAAGATAGCTCTACAAAATATCACATGATGACCATGTGGTGAAAATAAATCACCAACAATCTAATGATATTGTCAAATATCATCACATGCCTCATCAGAGACCAACATAATAATATGCATCTGCATATCAAGCATATATAAACATATCTATATATAGCATAAAGCGTTTTGGTTTTCGAAGAGGTCCACTCACAAGTAAGCAAAGTGTCCCTCACAAATATGCTCATTGCATGTATCCTTTCAATTCTCTAATAACCTTGTGATAGTCAACATAAGCTAAGTCAAGCTTAAATCATCAACTTATGGGACATTGCCCAAAATTACCATTTAGGTAATGAATTTGCACAAACAAAGGGCACCACGTGATTTAGAACACCACAAAACCTAGGGTTAGGTCTCGAGTCTGTCACATGTCGCCGTGCTAATGTCACACGTCGAGAAACATGCGCCGCCGTGGCCACTGTCACCAGCGAACACGTCGTCGTACTTGCCGTCACGGTTTGGCAAGTAGACATCACACTTGTCGAAGTCGAAGCCATGAGCTGGTGCGGTGAGGGTTTAAATAGGATAACGGAATATACCAGCAATGTTAGAAGATTTCATTAAAGTTAACAGAATCTCAGTCCCTACCGTCAAAGTTAACGATGATCGTCACTGGTCACCATCATCGGTCGTCGGAAGCCTACAGGAAAAACCCAAAACACGATCAAGGTTCTCCCGAGCTTGATTTCATCGATTTCTCACTCCAAAACCAACTTAAAACATGAATTAAGGCCTAGGAAATTACCCAAACCCAAATTTGGACCACTGGAGCTTGAATCTGTCTCGAATTCGAAGGAAGTTGGTTGAAGTCCATTGCCGGATTCTAAAAATAGGAAAAAAAAGATGCATGCATGTCAACTCAGTGATTCTCAACCAAAATCCACATGCAACAAGGTATTTAATTACCTGAGTTTGATTCCAAAAGGGTTCGTGCACCAACAATCACGAACTCGCCGAAGTTCATTCATTCACACTTGCCAGGAACTGGAAAATAGAGATTGAGGTGCATGCAAAAGTTATGACTCAAATAAGTAGTTCAAAACCTCATCCCAATTATCACATAGACAAAAGGGAAGAGATTTGATGTACTAGAACACCCACCAACTTTGAACTCGACGGCATTTTGCCGGACTTCGTCGTCAGAGTTGGGTTTATGCTCTTTAGAGAATTAATTACGCACTTTAAAGTGATATTAGAGTCCACGTTAAAAATGCGTATGAAAGATAAGTAGGAAAAGGTAAACGAAAAAATGTAGCTAGCATTTCTCATCAATATCGACGACCTTAATTAATATGGTGTGAGCGGAGAATAATTTCATGTCAATTCAACTCCAAAATTCTAAATTTTCACACAGGAAGGAACATAGAAATATCGATAAATATTTAATAAAAAAAACATGTCCATGATCCATTAAAATCAAACAAAAACGTCCTAGGATTAATATTCAATGACTATTCGATCTTCCTCAATTATGTCAAATTAAGTATTATATTTTGGCGGCTAACTTTCTTTGATATTTTTATGGAAGATTCCCAAATGTCGCGACACTGATTGAATTGGATGATTGTCAAGACTTGACTCCAAACTTTTATTTGGAAGTTGCAAAATTTAAAATGTTGTCTGCACTAGATGACCAGAAACGACAATATATGAGCTTGTGATTGTAACAAAGGTTATATATCTATATGTAACTGTTTGGGTGTTATATATCTATATGTAACTGTTTGGGTTAATATTTGAACATTGGGCTTGAATGAGGGAAAGCCTAAAGATGCCAATTAAAAGAGGACTTGCTCGAAGCCCAACATCAAACCCAGAAGCAAATTGAGGCTTTCTCAGCTAAGAGACACAGGCCACGTGTCTATAATTGAAGTGACAAGTGATGGAGACTAACTTACTACCAGCCAAAAAACACTTTCCAATGGCATTTCTAGTAAAAAGCTGATGACTCACTACCCTCCAAGTACTTTCGAGTAAGAACAAAAGCTACAGCATTTGGGCTACATTGCCTATAAAAGTAAGAAGAGACAACGGGGAAAAACACACTAAATCAATCAAACAAACAAACATACAAACTCTGCTCTCAAACCAAATTTGCATCTAAAAGCTAAAATCAACCCAGATTCAATCTTTTTTAGCGATAGTTCTCTGAAAAGTTATCTCCCTCAATGGTGTAGTATCCATTCCCTTGTGTAAACTTGTTTACCATCCATCCCTTTTTAGTAAATAACCCTGTAAACATAAAGAAAAGTGACTGCAAGAAGTTCAACCTTGCCAGACAAGGTGAAATCTTGCCCGAAGCTCTTTGTTTGTTTTCTAAATTAGTATATCTATTGCTTAATGTATTCTCCGGCATGTATTCAAGTCATTTCACTTGTTTTTCTATTTTAAAGAGTCTCATTTGCATCTGGATCCAGTTAGTTTAATGAATATGTTTTCATTAAAGGCAATCTAAGACCAAACAAATGACTTAAGGGGCTCTGGACTCCCTTCATTCGAACATACAAGACCATGAACTAAAAAGTCCTTGTTTACAAGTCAAGAAAAAGAACTTAATGTGGAGTTAACCCATCTACGACAATCCTTTGAAAACAAGAAGTTTGAAGTAACTTAGGGCGCAAGTAGTCAACTTAAAACACACTTGTTCTTCATCTGCTATACTGAGATAGCAGTGGCACGCCTAGCACTAGTTAGTTTTGATTGCGAGCCTCAAAACCTACACCTAAGGCCCCACAAAGGCACATTTCAGAACTAACTTTGTTCTCTTCTTGTAGCACATCAACAAGTAAGAGCTCGACTACACATCTAAAGTGCCAATCCCTTGGGGAGCTGTGTTGAGGTTTGAGGAGCCTTCTCCAGAAAAATCTTTGCCCGAACATAGTTTTGGCATGCTCGTTGGAGATCACCTATTATTCAATACTTGAAAAATCCTTCTTTCCCCACAAGTAAAAAGAATAGACAGCAAGCAACTATGTTTGGTAGGAGGAAAATCTGTTAAGAAAAACTCTAGATGGACTTCTGTTAAAATGCTTAGGCCAGGAAGAATCAATGAGAGTAATGGCTGAAGTACATGAAGGAATCTATGGAGCACATCAAGCTAAAGCTAAGATGAGATGGTTACTTAGGAGATATGGCTACTTTTGGCCCAACATAGAAAAAGACTACAAGGCCTATGCCTGAGGGTGTGAGGAATGTCAAAGGCATGGACCTCTCCAACATGTGCCCTCAGTGCCCTTGAACCCTGTGGTCAAACCTTGGCCCTTCAGAGGATGGGCAATGGAGTTCATCGAGCAGATCTGCCTAGTTTCTAGCAAATGACACACATTCATAATTGTGGCAACGGATTACTTCACCAAATGGGTAGAAGCTTCAGCTGTCAAGACGATAACCTCAATTGCAGTCAACAAGTTCATTGAAACCAAGATCTTACATAGATTTGGGGTGCCCGAGATAAATGTTATAAACTGCGGGCCATCTTTTATTTCAAAGGAAGTAGAAGAGTTTGCAAGTAAGTTCAAGATAAAGATGATCCAGTCTAGTCCTTACTACCCACATTTAAATGGTCAAGCAGAAGACTACAACAAGGTCTTGGTGAATATTATTAAGAGAATGGTGGTGAATAGTCCTGAGAAATGGCATGAAAAGTTAGGAGACACTTTGTGGGTGTACAAAACCTCCAAAAGGGCAATAACTGGAACTACTCCTTACGCACTAACCTTCGGGCAAGATGTTATACTCCCTATGAAGATAAATGTGAGTTCTGTTAGGATTCAAAACCAGTTTAGGCTGTATAATGAAGAATACATTCAAGCTATGTGTCAATGAGTTAAAGATCTAGATGTAGCCTGAATTGAAGCTTTAAATAAAATTCAATAAGGGAAGAGATTTATTGCCTAAGCATACAATAAGAAGGTGAAGTTAAAGACCTTCAGGGAAGGAGAATTAGTGTGGAAGACAACTCTACCCTTAGGAGCTCAAGCTAGAGGCTTGGGGAAGTGGAGACCTACTTGGGAAGGTCATTTCATTTTCAATCAAATGCTAGATAAGGGAGGACATTAGTTGGCAGATTTGGAAGGGAACTTGCAAAGGCACCCAGTTAATGCTAAGTTTTTAAAGAGATACCATCTAACTTTATGGGATGCAAGAGATTGTTATATCGAGGAAATCTAAGCAAGTCAAGAAGGGTTGAAGTTAGATTACTACAGTTAAAATTCAAAGGGAAATAAGACAAGATAAAGATGAAGAATAAACTTATTTCATTCCATATAAAGATTACAATGGCCCTAGCCTAACAGATTTACATCTTCACCCAAAGTGATTATTCTGGAGTGGTAAGTTTGCATAATTGTAATGATTCTGCTAGGCTTGGCCAAAACTGTGTTGTTGTTGGCAAGCTGAGATTCAGCATCCTCCATCTCCAAATTTGCTTTCTTCTCTTCCTCAATTTGTTGATGAAGTTTACTAAGTAGAGTAGTCTGTTCAGCTTTCAGCACAGCAAGTTGCTCCTCTAGCTTCTGGATCTTAAAAGTCACCATTTTAATCTTTTCCTCTGTAGCTAAACCTTCATCCACCAATTGCTAAATATGAGCTGAAGTACTTATTTGTTTCATCTTGAATCACCTAACTCGGTTGGCTGGCCTCTCAACCCGCTGATGATGATCCCTCAAAGCCCTCAAGTTCTCGAAGTAAGATTGGAAAGACTCATACTGGACTTTAGATAATTGATCAGCCTTAAACAGATCAGTGATGGCCTTCTCTACGTCATGGAGAGCCTTAAGGCTAAAGGAAGTTGAGAAATACCTCCTAGACCACTCTTGAAAAATTCGACGTTGATCTTGAAAACCTTGGGGCTCAGAGGGATGCCTTGAAGATCTTAGTCTTGTCTTAAGTTGCCTAAAGTCTTTGAAAAGCTCGCACAAATATGTTGTGGTGGAGATAGGCGCAGAGGAAGAAGGCAATGATCTAGCTCCTTCGGAAGGTGCAATTGTGGAAACAGTCTCAGCAGATGGAGAAGCTCGAAGGGTAGGAGCAGCGATGGTCTTAGTCTTCTTCTTAGGCCTAGGAATAGGCATCCCTGAGACCTCAGAAGCTAGAAGAGGTTAGGAAGTTCTGTCTTATGCACCAGAGGAGGTGAAGAATTGCCAGAGTCCTCTCCAGGGCCCTGTTGCAAACCAAGAAAAACAAAGTTAAGAAAAGACTACATTTTAAAAAGAAAGAAGACAAGATTAGAGAAGATAATATACCTGAGTGGAGCTTGGAGCCTTGGAATGAGGTGGAAGAGAAGTTGTTTCCCTTAATAGCTGGGGGGGATCAGTCTCACTTATTGAAGAATGAGGAAATGTGCCCAAACCCTCACCAAAGGCCTATAAATATCAAGGATAAAGGGAAAATGTCAGTAACTAAGTTATGGAGAAAAGAAAATAGAGGTAAAGTTACTTCTATACCTGAACATAATCTTGAATGGGAGAATGAAGCTCTTCTATAGTTGTTGCTGTTTGAGGAGAAGCTCATGGGCTAGTTACCTCTGAGACCACAGGGATCTCAAGAACTATAGGCTCCTCAAATCCAGATGTTGCTGGTATATAAGACTCTTGTGCTAGGGAAGACTAGGAAAAAAGAGAAAATAAGTATAAAATGATGGGGACTTTAAGCATAAAAGTGTTAAGGGAAAATGCTCACCAAGTTATTGTTGTCTTCCACAAAATGCAGCATTTCCCCAGTTGTTGGGTCAAACTAAGTTGTAGGAACCACCACCAAAGGATGAGAAGTTGAAGGAATAGAAGTATAACTTTGCTCGACTAAGGGTGCAGATGCTTCAACCTTAGCCTACAAAAATGAAAGTCAGGTATTAAAGCTCTAAAAGTGATAAAAATACAAGGTTAAAAGAGTGAAGAAGAGATATACTTTGAAGATCTAGCCGAAGGAGGAGAAACATGTGTCGTTCGGGCTGGAGGTGAAGAAGCCTTAGGCAAATAGATCATTTCTTCCCTTATGGCCTATTTCAGGCAGTCGAGCAGAGAATTAATAAAAAATAAGAGAAGGGAAAACTTCAAATGAGTGACTTAAGACACAAGTCATACCTCCAGTTCTTCAAGAGTGGCATCAAAAAGATCCTTGGCTTTCTGATATATTTCTGCACCCAATGGATCTTCCCTTAGCA